GACACACAGATCTACAGCACCGCTGCCTGGGCCTCTGGGAGGAGAGACAGGGGTCAGAGCTGCTGTCTGCTCTCAGGACAGACTGACGCTCCCAGGCACAGATCTACAGCACCGCTGCCTGGGCCTCTGGGAGGAGAGACGGGTTAGAGCTGTTATCCACACCACACTGTCCTCATGGGAAACTTCAATACCAAGGACGGGCTCCTCTCTGAAGGTAAGAGCCCGATATCTGCGCTCCTGCCCAGTGCGACCCTGTCCACAGGGCCTGCATGAACACGCACTGACAGAAAGCTTCCTCTGACCTTTGGACTCGGGCAGGGGCAGGCTCAGGCTGGATGAGGTGCTCATTGCAGTCAATCTATGAAGGAGTGAGAGGTGTATTTTACACAGTGTTGAGCCGTCCACATTGAATAGCCATTCAGATAAAAAGATAAGGGTTTGTGGTAAAATGGTTAGGTGTATGATTCTATTAAAAACTCTGTTTTATTATGAGCACTTTTAAAAACCGTTCCTGTACCTAAGGCACAGCGGAGTAAAATGAAGGCGAAAAAAAAACTCATGTGAATTAACCAAATAAAATGAAGAATGTAACCATATGATAAGGTTTTAGTGCTAAGTGAGTTAAAATTTAAAGGTTGCAGAATGTAAGCAGTGAGCTCCACATGTGTGGTCCTACACACAGGCGGCCCATCACCTGCTGGCTGGTCTTTGGCAGAGCGGAAGGGCCTGAATATGCTGGGCTGGCCTGTACTCGTACAGTAAGACCATACGATGCCCTGAAAGGTGTCCAGGTCCTTGTACCCGAGTAGGAGACTGTTAAAACGCACTTACTCTCAGGGGTAGCCTATGCAGTGATCACAGGTAGGGGCTGGTGCCAATGCAGGGTGGTTTAGTAAAAACAGGAGCTGAGAAATTCTGCACCTCTTATTTGCCTTAGTAGATACACCCTATGTAATGGGGTAGTCTAATCATGATTGAGTAGGGAGCTGTGTCAGCATGCATAGGCTGCAAAGGAAAAGGTAAACTTAATTTCATGCTGAAAGGTGAAGAAAAACTCAAGGTTTTGGCTGTGGAGCATTTTTCAGGTGTCACCTTTCTGAATGGAATGAACCGTTACTGTTCCTTTGTAGTCTAATTGTCAGTATTTCAATCGGGCATGCAGGGTAGAAGTCTTAACTGACCAGCGTTTCACATTTAGTAGAAAGATGCCTTTATAATTTACTTTGCATGAGCTTCACATAATCACGCAGTGCCAAAAGTAATTAATACCAAGGTTTCTAAATTTCACATGTGGTTTGATTTGACCACTCAGCAGTAACGCTAAGGTCTCCTGATGGTCAAAGGCTATGAGCAAGAACCCCAGTGTTACTATAGTCCACGTTGGTGTTAGACAGACACCTTATAAGTGTAGAAGTAGTATCTGATTTGGTCTGCAATTAAATTTGAAAGTCATCTGAACAGCAGTGACGCCCAGGTCCAGGATGGAGAATCTAACCGAGAGTCAGTACGTCCGTATATAAATACTACAAGTCCCAGCACAGAGCCCTGTGGAACACCCTGAGAAAGTGGCACAACATCTGAGAATTATGAATTGTCTCCTGGCAGTCAAATACGTAGCTGTCAAAAGAATGGAGGGATGTGCCAATGACCCATACATACCTGAGCCACTGTGGCAGTAGGATGCTTTGAATTAGATTAAAAAAAACATACGAATATATAAAAATGAGAACAG